CTAACTGCTGGTCCTGACATTCCTATTAGCTTTAACTACTCAAGGAAGTAGACAAAATATGCCTATGTCTGTATTTAGCAGGATATACTATCATACAAACAAGTTATCAATGACTTCACATAAAAGTTTGTATAATGCTCATGTCTCTGTTCAAGCTGAGGTCCTTTTCCAAGTGGTGGCTCACAGAGCCAGTGTGCATATGTCCTGGATCTGCCCCATCTAAGGTTCATAGAGAAGAATGAGGATATAGCCTCACATATCTGATAATAAACTGAGGGGAAAATGGCGTATATCAATTCAGTCTATATTTCTTGGTGAATAATTAATCACATGGCCATAACTAGATGCAAGAGGGAGACATAATACCTATTCTTACCACCTGGAAGGAGAGTGAGAACATTTGGTGTCCAGCCAACTGTCTTTGTCACAGTTCATGAGTTAGGAATCTCTCATAGTACCTCTGCCCTATGATAGCTATGTGGAGATGTCAACATCACTCATCTAGAAGAACAGCTACCATAAAAAACAGGGGTGATTAAAGAATCACACGTCATGTATGTATACACTTCAGGCTTATGTATATTTCCATGAATGCATATATTTTTCTTACCTTTGAATCCTATCCTACCTAGAGAAGGCAGTTTACCCCAGTAAAAGTGTATTTTTTAGGTCTTGATAGTTTTCTTGAATTTTCATAAAAGCTTAATCCAACCTAGTAATTTTTAAAGTTTATTTATGTCTTCCATGAGAGAGAGATAGATACCCCAGAAAGGGTCCCTGATCAGCAAGCTACCTTCGGTATAGCTGACCCGGGTCATAGGCACACCCATGCACACCTGACTTGCTCAGAGAGTTCCTGGGATACCAACCCAGTACTTTTCTTATGTGGGTCCAGCTGCCCAACTGTGGCAATACCACCTGGTCCCAAACCCAGTAGTTTTTTAAGCTACTTAAAGTCTCAGGCACTAATCACCTGTCCAATCTTCTAGTCTTAGTCTTCCATCACTTCAGCTTTCTTTTCTATCTGCACTATCAGGTTGCCTCATGCACAGCTTTCCACAGGCAGGGGGCAAAGGGAGAATGGCAAATCTACTTAGAGACGACAACACGTAGGTGGAGACAGGAAGCTATGGGGTTGATTGTGGCTGCTCCATAAATGGCTCAGCCTACAGTGATCTCCCCTGTTAGGGGTTTCTTAGCCCTGGTGGTAAGGCAGCCCTGTAGCAAATCTTCCCATCCCCATTTTTCACTTAGTGAAGGAAAGAAATGAGGATATAAACACACAGTGAGATAAAATGGTACTGATTTTATGCAGCAAAATAAGACATAATGAAAAAGAGACATTTGGAGATGTTAGAAGACCTTCTGAAATTAAAAATATGAGATCAAAGGAAAAAAATATAACTAGAAAGTTTTAGAGGTAAAACAGAGAAGATGCCCCAGGACCTAACTATGAAGACAATGAGACAATGATAGAAGATAAGAGTAAAAAGTTAACAAAATAGAACCACTAGCCCTAAAGCATAGACGATCCAGAAAGACAGACTAGAAAAGGAGAAAAAAGGAAGAGTTAATGGTATCATTCAAAAAAATTGCCAAGACCTGAAAAACATTTTTTCAGAATAAGAGTACTCCCTTATTACCTAGCAGAATCATGAAAATAAAGCCACACTAAAGCACATCAGAAACATCACTGTGGAATTATAAAACACTGCGATCAATAAGGAAAATCCTAAGAGTCCCAGAGAAGAAATGGGTTAGTCACAAAGAATAGTAATCAGAATTATCTGGGATTTTCCAAGCACAATACTGGAAACTCAGTTAAAGTACATCTTCAAAATGTTGGGACTAGAAGTTAGCATGATGGCTATGTCGTTGGACTGCCACATAGTCAACCGCGGTTCAAGTCCTGGACCCAGTGGCTTAAACTCACGCCGGGCACGTGCACGTGCGTGCCCAAGATCCCAAGAGGAGAATGGAGGAGAGGGAATTGCGGTGTGGCCAACCCCCCTGGGGAGTGATTTCTCATTTTCTGTCTCTCTGTCTCTCTCGGTCTGTTTGGCAAGCACACGCGCCATATAGCAAAAGCCTCTCCACAAAAAAAAAAAAAAATGTTGGGGAAGGAATCAAGGAGAAAAATAGAGGCAAGACATTTGAGGTACACAGAAATGGAGGACTATCTGTTGGTGATAATGTGAGTTTCTCCAGCTGCACTGATAAGTGTTTCTCCAGCTGCACTTATGGGAAGTGAGTTTATGTTGGGTAAATTCTTTTGATAAGTTGTAGCGATGTATAGTGATTGAATGTATGAAATAAATTAAAATTAAATAATGACAAGAAATTAAATAAATAATTCTTTTAAAAACTATGTTGGGGAAAACTGTTTGCTTCCTTTTAACTCTGTACCTAGCCAAGTGATCTATTATGTAAAAAGACAGAATAAAAATATTTTCATATATTTAAGATCTCAAAAAATGTACCTCTCATAAACCCTTTGTCAGAAAGTTATTAAAGGATATGCCTCACCTAAAGGTGAGAGAGTAAACTGCTCACTAAAGAAGTATTCACAGGACAGGTAATAGAAAATTCCCCTCCCCCATACACACACACACACACACACACGGAGAATGGAGGAGAAGGGATTGCAGCGTGACCATCCCCCCTGGGGGGTGATTTCTCGCTTTCTGTCTCTATGTCTCTCTCTGTCTGTCTGGCGAGTGCACGCGCCCTACAGTGAAAATCTCTCCAAAAAAAAAAAAGTAGTATTCACAGGACAGGTAATAGAAAATTCCCCTCCCCCATACACACACACACACACACACACACACACACACAGCTAAAGGAAGCTCTAAGATAATAATTAAGAAGGATCCCAGGATAACAGAAATGTACAAAGTACAAAAGGAAAAAATGAGATGTTGGATCTGTGGCTAGCCCCTGCGTGTAGTGTAGTGGATAAGATGACTGGATCTCACATAGCTGCGGCCAGCGTGTAGTGTGGTGGATAAGATGACTGGATCTCACATAGCTGCCTGGATTGTTCAAGTCCTGGATGCAGTGACTTAAAAAACACGTACACACAAACAAAATCCTGAGAAGGCCTGAAACAAAGGGATCGTGGCATGACTATTTCTCCCATCTCCCGATCCTCAGAGGCGCTTCCTCACTTTCCCACGCTCTTTCTCTATCTCTGTCCATCCTTCTCTGAGGAGCACACAGGACCTATGGCAAAAATTGAAAAAACAAAAAAAAAAGAGGCAAACAAACAAACAAAAATGAAAGATATAGAAAATAAATGGAACCATGACGTTTACTAATAACACCAGGGTGATGATGTCATACAGCGGAAATACAATGATGAGACAATAGAGTGTGTGTGTGTATATATATGTGTATGTCTGTGTTATATATGTATGTACGTGTGTGTTATATAACATATATACCTGTGTCTGTGTGCATGTGTGTGTGTCCATTATGCTTCTCGAAAGGAGAATTGGAGAGAAAAGAGATGGGATCAGGATTTAATTTGTATTACATGTTACTTCGTTCCTTTCTAAGATTTACTGTGTGCGTGTTACCTATTCAGAAAGTTATAAAAAATTTCTCTTAAAAATTAATAAATCTACATACTTTTGATCCAACAATTCTACCTCTAGAAAATTATTAATAACAATATATTTCTATCTGCAAATTACGCGTGTAAAGGATATTGATTACAGCATCGGCTGAGAGAACAAACGACTAGAACTGACCCCAATACCTAAGAAAGAAAGTCTGGTGCAATAATAAATTGGGTACCACTGCACCATGAAATACTCTGTAGCCATATAAACAAGAATGAGAAGCTCATTAAGTACTGGTAAGGAATGATCTCTAAGATATACAGCTAAGCAAGAAAGGTAAAGTAATACAAAAGATGTGTGGTGGGATCAGCAGCCGGTGAACTGGACTCCCACATGGCCGACCACGGTTCAAGCCCCCAGTCCAGTGCCATGGATGTGTGTGTGCATGCACCAAATCCTGAAAGGAGGATGGAGGAAAACAGATGGCAGTGTGGTCATCCCCCTTGGGAAATTATTTCTTACTTTCTCTCCAGTGAGCACACACATGCCCTATAGTAAAAACCTT